AAAAAAAAAAATAATAAATGTTGGGATCAGAGCCGGAGGGAGCCCAGAGGAGGTTTCTCCGCGTGCGCGTCCGAGTGCGTGCGTGCGTCTGTCCCCTCTCTCGTCCCTCTCCCCAGACGGCTCGTTCGCCTTGTAAAACTTTGCGGCATGTGACGCTGCTCCGGCCTCCTCTGGCAGCCTGACAAGAGCCGTACCGCCCGGCCGCAGCGCGCAGGCGGCTTTTAAGGGAGAAACTCCATTCCTAGAGATCAGAGAATTAACACGTTTTCAGCAAGGGACGGCGCCTCGGACAATGGCCGCCACGGCGGCGGCAACACCGACCCTCACCATGTCGGGTCGCGGCAGGGGGAGAAGAGCTGAATCAAAAGGCGTACGGGGGCCATGGCGGCCGCGGGGAAAGGCATCCCGGCCGACCCCAGCCCGCCTGTGCTGCCACCTCTTTCCCCCAAGGCCTGGGGTCTCCTCGGGGTGGGATAAAATGCCGCCGGCTCCCCCCGAAGAACATGGCCATCCCAGGAGGGAACGGAGCGGCTCGGCTTGGGGGATTTGAGGGAGCTTCCTCAAAAAAAGGGCCCGCAGCAGGCAAGGGGGAGCGTGGAAAGCAGCGTCCCCGTGCTCTTCCCCTCCTCTTACAAGGCTTCAGCAACGGACAGAGCCCCACCGCCAGCGTGGCAGGCCGGGCCCCGGCGCCGCGCTCCCCCGCCGTGCCCTTTGTGGCCTTTTCTCCTTGTTTCCAGCCAGGATTTCCCTTGTCCAGAGGGGAGGAATCCAGCAGGACCCAGCTCCTCCGTAACTTCGACGGCGGGTGAAGGCCATCCCGGGGGACGGGGTGGCCCCGCTCCCACCGAGGACAGGGCTGTGCAAAGACAGGGGACGAGTCCAGGGCCACCGCGCCGCTGGCGCCTGGGTGCGGTCCGCCCGGCGGGCCGCGGGGCGCGCCCCACGCCCCCCCCCGGGGCTTTCCCCGCCCCCAGCCGGTCCCACCTCCCTGGCGGCAGGATCTCCTCCGCGAGGGTTATTATTTTATATATCTATTTTTTAAAGACTTCTTTGCCTACGTGGAGCTCGGCGCTGCAGGAGAACAGTGCAAACAGCCTTATCGAGGGCAGCCACGCTGCAGGGGCACTTCCTCACGTGCGGCCGCAAGACGGGGGCCCTCCATCGCTGCCAGGGCTGGCGGGGGGGGCTGGCACCCTGACACCAGGGTGATGGGCACCATTCAGTCATTGGGAGAGGTTTGCTGGGCTGCTTTCCTCCCGGCTCTGCAGCGGGGAGAGCAGCACGGCCGGGTGGGGTTTGGTTTTAACTGAAGGGTCTTTAGCAGGACGGCTCTGCAGGGGGAACGGGGAGGGCGATGCGATCGGTCCGAGCTCAGCTGCACTTTCCCTGGGCACGAGGGCTTCACCAGCACCTCGTTGCTCCCCAAATCCTGCCCGACCCAAGCGTCCAAGCCCCGCTGAGAGCCAGGGCAGCCTTGACCCGAGTTTCCCTCTCCTGGCTGCCGTCACTGCCTCCCTTCTCCCCCCAGCAGCTGGGAGCAGATGAGGCCAAAGTCCTGGCAATCGCTGTTTTCCACTGAGGGCTGATAAACCGCGTGGGCAGAGAGCAGCAGCGCTCTCCACCCATCCCCACTTTGCGCCGGAGAGAGTCAATATTTAAACCCGAGTTTGTTTCCTGGGCAGACAGGGGAGCGCTGGGGCTGTAGGTGGGAGAAATCCCCGGCTCCATCCCAGGCTCTGGACCCAAACCTCCTGCTACACCCCTTCGTTTGTTCTCCCGACCCCAGGTGTCACCCCGGATCACCTCTCCCGCGGGAGCAGGGCCCCGTCCCCATCAGCTGTGCTACACGAGCACCAGCTGCAGGGCCAAGCACCCGCTAACGGGGCAGCGATTTAAGGGAGAGGGGTGCCCAGCCAGAGTTTGGGTGCTCTCCTTGTCTGCTTCTGCTACAGCTGCTGTCCCTATGGTGGGACACTGCAAATGAAGCATGGGACAAGAAGAACCAGGGTTAGAAACAGGCGGTAAGGAAATATTTAATCATCCTATGAATGGCAGCCCCTGCTTCAAGGTAAGGCAGTGCACTGAAATCTCTGAAACCTGGTTTTCATTTAAATTGACCAAAAACCTATATTCAAGTGTTGTGTTTCCAGCAAACCTCATGGGTCCCAGTGAAATGGGCAGAAATTGCTGGCAGGATGCTTGCTCTGGTGCAGATTTAGGTAAATTCCTTAGGTAAATTCCTTAAAGGAAAGGAAATGGCACTTTTCATTGCGGTGGCTGCCGCCAGGCTGTACACAAGGCGTAGGAGGCTTTACAGGCATGTGACCAGCAGAAGGTGGCCTTAATTTTGAGGGTAAAGGCGTACGTTCCTGAGCAGGCGTTGTGTGAGCTGGGAGATGCAATGCCCGGTGTTGGGGTAGGCAAGAAACCAGTTAACGCACTAAAAGGCAGGCGGGTAAGGACCCTGGGAGCCGTGCAGGGGAGGACGGAGTGGCTGAGCCCACCCGATGGCCTCAGCGGGTCTGACAGCAGCAAAAGGTCTCCACCATCCCTTCCAGAATTGCTCAGGGTCAATTTTAACTCCAAACATCTATTTTTCTGTATGCTGTTTCAAGCAGCCAAGCCCATTGCTGCCTCCACCCTCGCTCCAGGTGCTCCCAGTTTGCTCAGCCTAAACCTCCTGATCTTTCATGGAGGTGAGGAAGACCAGAGGGAATCTGAGTTTGCAACTGCTGGTTTAGCCCTGGCTTTGGGGAAGAAACCAAAGGAAATGCCCGTGTTAAACTGAAACCTTCCCTGAGTGAGGGAGCCTGGTATGCAGAAAAAAAATAACACTTTTTTAAAAAAGAAACACCCGAGAGTTGTTGTTTTATAGCTGTATTTTGGAGCACAATTAAATCCTCTTTGAAGTAACCTCTGGTGTTAGGGAACAGGGCCATGCATTATTTAACTTTTGTGACTGTAACATAAACTGTACCGGAGGAAGGGAGGACAGACAGGACTGACTTCATGACACCAAAGGGAGCTGGGTGGGAACCACCAGTCCCAGCGTGTACCAGTGCTGTCCCGCAGGCCCTGGCTGGGAGGTGTGGATCAAACCCATCCGACGGAGGAAAACCCCTGTGCGATGGCAGGCTGGGGTCCCCAGAGGACCACGATGGGATGTGACCCCAGCTGCTGCTGCAGCAACACATGGGAACCTGCTCAAGGACCCCAAAACCCCTTCCCAGGGAGCGCAGCAACACCTCTGTGCAAAAGACTGCTTCGTGGGGGAACCAAAATGGGGGAAATCTGCTGGGCTGCTCTGACAGCACAGGCTGGTGCAAAAAAACTCTTGTCTGGGGAGCTGAGGAGGAATCCTGCCCTGCTACCACCGGTGAGCTCTGCTATGCAAGGGCCAGCCGTGCTCCCACGGGCATGAGGAGCCCCTGACCCTGACACCTCGCAAGCTTTTGGCCAGCTCAAGGTTTACTCCTGTATTCCAGCCAGCAACGGACCGAGTGCCCCTCCTGCAAGGTGAACCCTTCAGCACATAGCTGTTAGCAGGACACTGCCACGCGGCAGCCCAGCACCACAACACGTGGCTCTGTGTTCATCGGTGAAGCAGCGATGCTCTGGTTTGGCAGGAGCCCGGTGGGGCTCGTGGTCCTGCCGGCTGGGAGACACCCATGCGACGCAGTCATGCCGGTACAGAGACACGCTGCACCCAAGCACGGGCCGGTCCAACCCAGGACCCACCTCCCCTGAGAAATGCGTCCAGGCTGCCTGCCCAGGTGACGCCCAGCAGCTCTGCCGGGTGTATTCTAAATACAGCCCATCCCGCTGCAAAAACCCTTCCCAAAGCTGTTGCCTCCGCAGCGCACACCCCTCCCCAAGTGCTCTCTCTGTGTCCACGTCCCAACGCTGCCCTGGAGCTGAGCTCTTTGGGACTGCGCTGCTCTTTGTAGTGGGACTCTGTTTCCCTTGTCTGTTCTGATGCTATAATTTCCCTTTCACGCCCATGGGAGGTGGTGTGCTCCCTAGTGTTCAGGCACCCTCAAAACCTTAAATATGGGTCACGGGGTTGATCTCGCCCAGGATGAGCTACCTGCTGCACAATCGTTTGCCCTCTCCAGAAGAGATGAGACGGGAGGCCGGTCAGCTGGCGCAGCCTTCCCAGCCAGGCGACCTTGGATCTCTTGCTGCTTCTCAGCTCACACAGAACAAAGCAGTCTTTTGTCCCCGCATCTTGGGGCTGGCTCATTTAGTACCTGGGCATTTTCTGGTGTCCCAGACTTCCTCAGTGACTCCAGAGCTACAGCCTGGACCAAAGAGACAAGACAACTCCCTCCTGCTCTCTCTGCTTCACGTCCCGGTTGAAACAGCCACGAGGATGGGACTTTGGTCCAACTGGAGCCTGAAGCCAGATCTCCAGAAGCCAACTTGTTGCTGGCCTTCCTGGAGAGGAGGTGTCTTGGTCTGGCACCACAGACTTTGGATCGAAAAGAAAAAATATACATATATTGAAACAAGTTTAGGGTTTCTTGAGGAGTCCAAGTTCATCACCTCTCCCTGCCAAGGAGTCAGTCGCTGGGGAAGCAGGCGGCTGGCATGGGCGCCCTGCGGAAAAGCAGGCTGGAGCCGCGGAACAGCTGCCCCTGAGGAGGAGAGAGAGAGCACAGGGTCAGGGTAGCTGTGCTGAGACCCGGACGGGGAATTGCAGCTGGTTTAGCAGGGACGGATCGTGCCCGCTGCAAGGCCTGAGCACCCCGGGTTACTACAGGGGGAGAAAGTGGGGTTTCAGCCCTGTGGGTGCTGGAGTCAGGCCTTTCCCCCAGGGGTGACTGAGGGAGAGGGGCAGAGCCACCTTGCTTTGCTGTGTGCAACGCATTGGCTAAAAGTTTGCAGGCTGCAAGCTCAGGGCATGTAATGGGCAGACCAGTACTGCCATGCCTGGTACCAGCGCCAGAACTGGAGGGATGGAAATGGGTTACAGAGCACATTAAGGATGCGGCACAGGCACTTTTTGGGCAGCGCTGGAGACCTCGGGAAGGAACAGAGGGAGCTCAAAGCCCTGCGTGTGCCCTGCTCCCTCACCTGAGCACTGAGATACCTCCAGCAATGGATCCAGGATGTAAACGCGGGAGCGTAGGGAGGGAGGCCGGCGCGCAACCTGCATGGCAACAAGAAATAGCTGAGACGGTCTGTACAGATGTCACGTTATCCAGACAGGTAACACAAGAGCAGCAGTAAGTGAGGACACAGAAACGGTGTCTGCACTGGGCTGAAGGCCAAATGACCAGCTCGTTATTTACAATGCAACAGATCATGTAATTTAATTACCCTTGGAGCGTACAAACAAGGAGCGTTACCTGGATACGTTAAGAGCCCAGGACTATATGCCGTGTCTACACCTTCAAGAGCCAGCAGATATCAAGAAAACACTACACCAGCAGCTTGGATCCAGTCCCCTTCCCATAAGCACGAATGCAGAAGACTTCTTGCAGCAGTGGGATTGGGAAAGCAAGCTTGGTCCTGCTCCTGTCTGCACCCATCCCTGCATTAAGAGCTGTGCTTCCCCTCATGCCGCTCCCCGGAGCCAGCACAGTCCCTTTGATCCCTTATCCCTCCGGTCTAGTTCCAACCAGACCGCACCACCATGACTCTCCCTATTTCTCTCCACTTGAGCTTTTATGCTGCTCTTGTCTGTGCCCTCTGATCTAAAATTATAAGCAACCTGGGACAGGAAATGAGCCAGCTCCGCAAGGTGCCATACAGTTTACGGTTCTGTATGAAAGCTTTACGATCGTTAACAGAGGATTCGGACAACAAGGGGCTGGAAGAAAGGAAGGGAAAGCCTTAGATCTCTATGTGACAGACATACCCACAGTTGTTCACCGCCATGAGATCTCCCACGAGAAGGAATGGGTACGTCAGCATGCTCACAGCGATCTGAAAGCATAGAAAACCGGTAGCCTCTCTAATGTTCATCATGTCAAAAAAACTAGTTCCAGCTTTTGCATGTTAGCAAAGTTATTCTCGTCTTTGGATATAAAGTACAGACCAGCCTTTTCCCCCAGGCCATGAGCTCTCACCCCACAGATGCCGGGAAGAGGACAAATGATGTGGCAGTTGCCTACGTACCCCCATCACAAATTTTGTGTAGCTCCGGATCACCGATGCCTGGCTGAACTGGAAGGAGAAACCAAAGGGATTATGGAGGAGGTGGATGGCACCAGGCTGTCACTGTCACTACATGACATCCCTCTGAGCCCGAGATGATGGGTGTGGGGCAGGGGAAGGAGGCAGAAAGCAACGGTAACCACACCACATCCCAGCTGAGAATGAGGGAAAACATTTGCTACCAACCCTGATCCCCCAAACTGCAGCTGAAACGTAGCCCTGAGCAGGCACGGCATCTTTAGCACTTTTACGGTGTTTTATCCAAAGCCCAGTGCCTGTCTGTATTAAATTAGCTGTTAACCTCCCATTAACTCCTCCCAGCTGCAGGTGGTTGGTACGGGCCCCCCAAACCCTCCATCGGGCGCTTCCACTCACGTTATCGTCCACCGCGTAGGTGTTGATGAAGTGAGCCAAGAGGTTGCAGCACCAGAGGAAGATGACGTCTCCCAGGATGTGAGGGACTAAACCGCTGCAACGGCACAGAGGGACATGAGGTGCGGGAGGGTCCCCGTGCCGCCTTCCAGGGTGCCCAGCCCTCCCTCGCTCCCTCCACCAGCACAGAGGAACCCCATTCCCCCAAAATGCATCTTCACTTTGAGAGGAACTGAAGGGAAAAGGGAAGATTTCAGGGAAGAGCTCTCTCGGCCTTCAAACGTGGTCCTATGTGTGCTGCCAGCTGCTCTGGACAGGGGATGCTCTGGAGTAGGAAGTTTGGGATCTGTTGTTTGGGCAGGACTCAGCCAAGTCCCCTTTTTCTACCCCAAATCCCTTCTTGGCCCAACTCCTGCTCTGAAACCCAGGCAAGACAGAGATGAAGCGGGTTTCCATTAAGCTCATTTTGCAGATGCTGTTCCGGATGCAGAATGAGAAGTTCATCTCTTTGTGGAATCTCCCTCCTTTTAGAAATTAAAGTGAGGGGGATTGCTCCTGCAAAACCTGCTCTACTGCAAAGTGGGATTAACTGGGGGCAGCACTCCAGTCCTTGATTTTTTTCCCATCCCTGCTGCCACCTGAGAGCACAGGAACACGGGGTGATGTGCTGCTTTGGCTTACAGCTCTCATCGACATGCGGGCCGGAGCTCCCAGCAGCACGAGCACCCCCAGCTTCTGCAGCTAATGGCACTCAAGCATTAACAAAGCATCTCAGAAGGTTCCTCCAGTTTGTCAGAGCTCCTGCAGCATCTGTTGCACCAGCGCAGGCATCGAGCGCAGGGCCTCCTGCTTTAGCTGTGCAGTTGTTCCACTACAAAAGGATCCAGGTGTGTTTTAAACCTGCCTGTTTCACCAGCAGATGTGTTCAGATAGTTCTGAAAATGAGCCTGCTGAGAGCCACACGAGCATTTGCTGGGCTGGAAAGAGCCCCCTCCAAGCACAGCAGTCCGAGCCATTGATTTCTTCCCAAACACCACGCTGCCCTTCAGAGAAGGGGACCAGTTTTGTTTCCTGCCGTGGTCGCTGCAGCAGCAGAACGGCAATGAGGACTGCATGCTCTGATCCAGCCTGCTTCGCTTGCTTGGTGTTAGGGTTTATGCTTTTTGGAGACAACCTGTGTATTGTCACGGCCCTGGCAGCTCTGGAGATGCAGCCGAGGTCTCAGAGGCTAGGCACAGCAGTCATCTTCAATAGAAGATCTGCTGGCTTAAAAGATGTGATACATGAGAGCAACGGACAGGACAAAGAAATCAAAGCTCTCTGGTCCCAAAGAGATGGTCTGCTTTCCATTTAGCATTCAGCCTTTGTAAAAAAAATCCTTTTTCTAACTCAAAGTCAAGTCTGAAGCAGACTCCTGAGCTGCTGCAGATACAACAGGAGCTTAATAAAGTCCAGACACAGAGGGCTGGTCCAGGACTGGGCCACGGCAGCCATGTAAGTAAAACCTCACCCATCTGTTGATAGGAGAATGGGATCGTTTGTTCCATTTGCAGTAAGGATCCCATCCTTCCCTCTCCTCCATCATCAAAGTAATGACGGATGCTGGGCCTGAGTCTATGGGATGACTGGAGACCAGGGGTCTGAGCGAGCTGCAGAAAGGGACTATAAAAACCTAATTCATTTGTGCTACAACTCTCACGCCTGGTGAGATGTCCAAGGAGATCTGGACTAGGAATATTTTTAGAAGATGACGAGTCATTAAAAGCTGAAACAGCAGCAGGCAGATGAGGAAGCCTGCATGATGTACAGTGACTGGTGAGAAACCCCAGTGCTGGGGAGCTGGGACAAGCCATCTTCGAGCTGACCATGCGCAGCAGTTTCGGAGCCCCAGGAGCATCTTTCTGGCCTGCTGGCAGGCAGGAGGCTGCTGCAGATACGAGGGGCAGTGAGATAAGTCCATCCCCTGAAAAGTCTTTATCTCTAGCCAGGCATCCAGAGTGAGCATGTGCCGCTGTTACAGCTCCATAGAGGTTGTAAGGCCATGAGAAACAAGTGCACTGCGATGATTTTAAGGGAGTGGATGTGTTTGGATTGCATTAGGAGGGCTGAGAGCAGAAAAGCAGCCGTTTGGCCCTACAGATGCAGTTTGCGTTCCCCTCACAGCAGTGTGATTTCCTAGCGGGGCTGTAGAGCACGTATAACTTCAGAGCCCTCCTGAGACATTTTGGGTTGTGTTAAAGCCTTTCCTGTGAACTATTAAGTTTAATTAGGCTACCAACAGTGTTTATTTTATGTGGAGGAAGGGAATGCGGCAGCTCCTTTCACGTTATTTCCTCAGGAGGTGGAGGAGAGGGAGGGCAATGTGCTCCAGCCATGCCCCACACACAGGGAACATCCCAGAGGAACCTGTATTTAATGGAGGTGATTTGGGGCTGCACAGCTCAGAAGAGAAGCTGTGAGCTGCAAAAGGAAAATACAGCGACATTCAGTTGATGGGGTCTCTGCAGACCCCTGGCCCTTTCGCCCTCGGGAAGGACAGGGTGAGACCCCCTGCGACTGCTTGCCTCTTCCTGCCGCATTCATGTTTCATCTGGAGGCCCAAATTTTGTGATTGCAGAGCCAAAGGCATCAGGCCTGAAAACCCCTCCTGAAATTTCGGAGCTGCCTTTACTATTATTGACATAATAAAGTGAGTTATCTCCCCACCGGGAGCAGAGGCAGCAGGTGGTTCTGCTTTTATATAGATGTGGAAAAAAAAGGCAAGAAGCATTAATTAAGGGTTCAAGCAAAAAGGTGTCCAGTAGACTTCGATTTCAGCAACGCCATCAATTTGCTATGCTTCATAAGCGGCTGGAGGCACCTTTCAGCTCCTTCTGGTCCGGGCAGCATCACGCTCCTGTCATACAGGCAGACCTGCTGCCAGCACAAGCCACCTGCTCATTACAAGCACCCCTGGTGCTCTTCAGAGGAATGTGCTTCTTATCCAGGCCCTGGCTTTTATTTCAACAAGGAGTCTTATTGTTGCACTTGATCTTGGTGCCTGTTGCACAAACAAATGCTTTAAACGCCCCTTCTCTGAAACACAAAGAAGCACCAAGGGACAAAGGTAAGAAAAAATACAAGGTTTTCCCTGGGCTCTGAAGGTTTGATTGAAGATAAAGATCTGGGGCAAACTTAATGGTCAAACTGGAGTGCTGTCAAAGGCACAGATTTGATCTGTGCTCACGGGAGTGATGTGAGAGTCCCTCAGTCAGACAAGGTTTCAGCTGGGGGGAGCTCAGCACGACTCCTTTAACTGAGGTTAGCAGAGCAGCCAGAAGAGCCACCGGTGCCACCAGACTACGGGACAAAGTATTTAAACAACAACTCACGTACACAAAGAATCCCAGGATCCCTTCTTCCTTAAATATCCTGCCGATGGCGCTGAACACACCGCTGCCAAGAAAGGAAAAGAGCTGTAACCGTGCAGAGGTTGCTCTGTCCTGCGCAGCTTCACATGCGCTCTGCAGCCACCAGCCATAGCAACGTCCTCCCCAGCCATCGTGTCAGCAATGCCGCAGGCAGCTCTGTTCTGCTGCTTCTCCTCAACCCATGAAGGAGCGTTGTGTCTGCACTCTACCAGTCTGCAATAACGCCTGGGACAACGCTCCACTTGCTGACAACTGTTTAAATGCTGAAGCTAGAAGAGCTCTGCTTGGCTTTGTGTGAGCAGACATGCAGACCGCAACCACAGCACGTAATATGCTTTGATTAGGCTGATTCTCAACCAAAGAACCCTGTCCTGCCTCTGGGAGCTCGCGCTGGCAGTCGTGGGTTAGCTGCAATCCTGTCTAACACACCTTCAGATGGCTGCAAGTGCAGTTTTGCTGTGCAGAGAGGTAGATACTACTGATAAAAGCTTGGAAAAATCTTGCAGGCTAGCAGGGTTGCAGCAATGCTTTGTATTATCTACTCCGCCTCCCTGCTGACTTCCCTTTCTGTTAACACCTAAAGCAAAAAGGCCGGAGACTCCCTGTGTGATCAGCAAGGTGCGTTACAGCCACCAAAACCCCCATGGGCACAAGGCAGAACAGAGGCACGCCAGGGACGGAGCCCAGCCTTCCCCTGTCCCTTCACCCCACAGTCACCCACCCTCCAACCAGGACTCAGATTCACTTTTTGGTCTCCCAAACCTCCTGGCTTGCCATATCCATGGCATGGCTTGCATGGGAGCGTCTGGCATGGCTGACTCCAGGACTCATGCTTCTGTGTGCCCAAACCCTTCCAGGCTGCAGCTACTCACCTGTATTTGACTTCCCGGCCTACAAACTGGACCATGCAGCGCATAGAGATCACTACAAGGAAAGAAAAACAGGGCTGACAAAGAAACAAATCCAGTTTGGGATGCAATGGATGTGAAGGAAAATGCAACCTGACCCTTCTGCCCTCCCTTCCCTCAACTCGCATCACCTCCAGCAGCTCTCAGCGGTCCTCATTGCCACAAGGCTCACGAGAAACCGGTGCCCTCCCCTAGTCTGTAAGTGATGGGAAGGATTTCTGGCCCTAAGCCCAACGGGACCTCTAGGACAAGCTCTTGGATGAAGAGAGCACCTCGCCACTCAGCTGGGTTAGTCCCTGAAGGCCAACCCAAGCGTCAGCCTAAGCAACCACTCAGACCTGCATCTGTTCTGCGGTTTCATACAAAGCCATCTCTGATAGAGAAGCGCATCGAATACACGGGGTTTTGGACTGTCCGGCGAGGGCTGCCAGGCAGAGGGACAGGACTCACCGTGCAGCGGATGTGAGACAACCCGGGACACGCACTGCATCATCATCTCGTGAGATGTCTGGGAAGGGGAGGAAAAAAACCACACCTGTATGAAAAGCTGTGCTGCTCCACCTGCACAGATCAGGCCCTTTCCCTTAGCGTACAGAAACCCATTTCGGGTCCCTCTTTTAAAATCTGTTGTTCATGGTAAACCCCTATTCCTACAAAATATTTCATGGCGGGACACGGAGTGGCTACTGAATACCATGGCCTTTTTACCCAGAGTTTCCCTCCCAGTAATTTCACCCACAGCCCACAGTTCAAGCTTCCTTTGCTCTCCAGGCGCATACCCAATGCGATCTCCCCGATCGCTCGTTAACGTGCAATATCCGCTTCTCACCTCTTTCACCACTTTCCTAAGGGAGGTCTTCACATCATCCTTGTTAGAAACGTGCTCCATGTCTTCCAGTGGAAAGGCCTGAGCAGAGAGAGAAGAAACATATGGTCAAAACTGATGGAGATGCTGACCCACAAACCCTCAATGTCTGAGGACAGGAGCAAACCACGAGCAGTTGTGCTTTAGATGGGAGGAGAAGAAAACCAGGCAAGAATGAACACAGGAGGAAGAAGGATGGAAGGCAAAACAGGGAAAGACAGGGGTCACAAAACTGCTTACAAAAGATAAAAGGCAAGTGGTTGTTCAAATTAAATTAAAATTGTTTAAAAAATAAATTCTAGGGATACGGGCTGTTCTGTCCTGAAGGACTATCCAAAGCCCTTAGGAGATGGAGAGGGATGGGCGCTTTATTCCTCCACGTGCAGTCATGTCTGGGTGCAGGCACGTGCAGTAGCACCGGCCGCCCCAGCAAGCTGATTTATGGAGAGAGAAGCCGACCTTTACCTTCTTCACGCTCCCCCTGGTGATGGTTGATAAAGTGCTTGAGATGAGGCGAGGAGTGAGACCACGGAAGAGGCCTCTTTTCCCATCCACTTCCACAATGTGTCTAGCTGGGTAAGAAAACACCAGGCTGCTGTCAGTCAGGAACCGGCTGACCCGCGGAGAGCATCCCAAACACCTCGGTGTTCAGCCGAAACGCCGCCGGAGCTCAGCACGGCAGCCGCTCTGCAGTCCCACCGTAAGTGATTTATTGTAACAGTCCTAAATAAATGTCATATAGGATGCAAAGAATCCTTACGTATTCCCTGTCGTATCTGTCTAATCTGGAAAGATAGCTCCAGTATCTTGGGCTACTTCTTGTCTTTTGATTGTTTTGCTCACCTGACAGGGCTACAAGGCAGTTTGGACTGAACCAGGGCAGGGAGGGATCACCTCATGTGTTGTGTGGTGTCACCTCCTCCCTCCGCCCCGGCGGGTCAGACTCGGGGTTAATATGGATCTCACAAACCCAGGTTCACTTGCTGTCCCACCACCTTCTCCCTGCAAACTTCCTCGGGTCTCTAGCCAAAAAACAAAAGCCGATGGATTCAATTTCCGCTGATACCACAAAGTGGACTACAACCCACTACGTGCTTGTGGGTGCCGACTGCTCCTCCCCCCATCTCTGCTGTCCCAAGGGAAGCCAGGAAGGCTCTGCACCCCTCCATCACCCAGTGCTGTAAATCTGTTTGGAAAATGCATCTTCCAAAGGGCAGCACCAGAGCATTTCCAGCCCCAGGTGTTCCAGGACGGGTCTGCAGCGCTTTCGTACTGCTCCTGTGCTGGGTCCCCCTGCCCCGCGGGTACTGCTGTCCAGTTTTGGGATCAACCCAGCTTGACTTTCAGGACCATGAGCTCTCCTTCCTCCCTGCAAACCCACCGTGAAAGCAACCCCCGAGGTCACAGGGTATTCACCCGCCTCTCCTATGCCGCTCCACCCGCAAAAAGAGAAGAATAGTTCTTTTTTTTCCTTCTAAACATATTACCTTCCCTTTTCTTGGTATTTCAGTCCCTTTAGGGCCCCATCTACAACACAAAGGAGCAGAGCAGGGGGGCCAAGTTATTGCAGGGCCGTTTTCTAGCAAAGAAAGGTGCTTTGCTATCTTTAACACACGCAAAACCCTCCACCAACAAACCTGCGCCACCTAAACCCCTGCCGCCCCCTCCGCTACAGTGCAAACCCAGAGCAACGTGCCACAGGAAGGGGATGCAGCACCAGCAGCGGGGCCACCACCTCCTTGTCACCAACAACAGGTAGGTAAAACTGACGGCTTTGCAACTAGTTATAGTGTTTTACGTCTCATTGCAGCCTCGGGATGATCCCAAGGATGCTGCCAGGGATGTGGGAGTGCCGCTGGAGGTCAGCTCGGTCTACCTGGCAGCTCCCAGCCCCGTTTTGGGGAAGGACATCGCGCTGGCAGGGATACGCTCGCTCACCGTAGGTGAAGAAGCCGGGCAGGTACAGGACTTTCCTTCCCAGCACATTTCTTCCAACGGTTGGAGGTAGTGGCTCATGTCCGACCTGCAAGATAAACCCGTGAGCAGGTCCCTGCCCCTGTCCCGGCATTCCCGAAGTCCCCGGGCCACGCGGCCTCAATCCCGGCATCCGTGAGCTGCCAAAAGGCCACGTCCCCCCCAGGTACGTGGGAGTGCCATGACATGGGCAGTCCCTTTCCCATTATAGGGGTCCCTAGGGTACAGGGGGTCCTCATCCTTCCCATTTTATGGGGGTCCCTATCACAGAGGGGTTCTCAGGACACTGCAGGTCCTCACCCCCCCGCTATATAGGGGCTTCCCATCCCTCATTATATAGGAGTCCCCATTGCAGAGAGTATCCTCATCCCTCCCATTTTATAGGGGTCCCTGCTCTACAGGGTGTCCCCATCCCCTGTCATATGAGGGGGTCCTGATGCCCCTGCCATAAAAGAGTCCCCGCTCTATAGGGGTCCTCATCCCTCCATTACACAGGGTTTCCTATTCCCTGTTATATGGGGGGTCCCCATTGTAGAAGGTATCCTCATCCTCCTATCCTACAGACTTCCCCATTTTATAGCTGCCCTCATCCTCCCGGTTCTATAGGGACCCCCATGATACCGGCTGACCTCATCCCCTGTTATATACGGGGGCTCCCGTTGCATGGGGGCCCTTATTGCCTCCTTATATAGGGGTGCCCCCCCACTGTATAGGTGCCCCCCTTGTGTCCCCTGTTATAAAGCGGGGGGAGGAGCTGTATATATAGTGGTCCCCAGCGCACAGAGGTCTCCATAGGGGCACTCTATAGGGGTCTCCCTCCCTTCACTATACCCCGATCCCCCGTTATACGTGGGCTCCCGTTCTCCGCCCCACCCCCCCGGCGGCCCCGAACCTGGACGAGCAGCTTGACGTAGAGCAGCGGGTGGCT